TAAAAAGAATTCCTTTGTTGTATGACACAATTTCTTTTGTTTAATAGTTTCTTATTCATTCTTGTAATTAAGGAATAATCTCAAGTGCCATCTTAGGAAAATTTTTTCAACTCATAAATTCATAAATAATCAGTTGTAAATTCTGTTTAATATTGTTTTGTTTTTTTAATTGATAAAGGAAAGATTTTTGAGATCTATTTTTCTCATGTGACGATTTCTTGCACAGACATGAAATGTATTTATATCGGATCATTATTCTGGAAACAAAATAGAATATCTATTCAGTTTCTTCCTGATAACTAAATATAATGCCAAAGAGATTGAACAATAATAATACAAAAAGGACAAGTTCTGGAGTGATTGAATGCTAAATAAACTTTATGAAGAAATTGTTAATATTATGTTATGAAATGTCTCTTTTCTTTCTCACCAGCTGATGCTCTTCAATTTTACCTAAAAATATACTTTGTATTGATTCAGAAATGCAAGAAAAGAAAAAGAAAATAGTAAAATAGAAAGAAAAAAAACCCGAAAGAATGAAAGTTGTATTAATTTCTCTACTGAATTTCAATGCTGTTTGTCACATTTCTCAGTTTCTTTATTGGGAGAAAACTCTTTTTCTTTTTCTATTAAACTATTTTAAAAAAAATATTTTTTTGCCAAATGAAGATGATACATTACCATGAGTTAGATTGAAAGTGAAACCTGAGACTGGTGATAGAAAACAATTTTCTTCGATTTGCATCGGCATTTGATTTTTATATTTTACTGACAATGGGGAGAGATGAAGAGGCAAGCATGAGGAATGATAAGGGCTAAAAATGAATTGGGAGAGAGGCAGAGAAAAAGTGGAAAGAAAATGAAGTAAGTTTGAAGAGAGATCTGATGGAATAGCAAAAGAGCTCAGTGTAGAGTCAGAATCAATGAAAGGAACAGAAGAAAGATGATTTCAAAAAGAGAGAAAAACTGATATAAAACATTGCATAAAGCCCAAGGGAATGAAACATAATAAATTAATAAGGGTAAAACCCAGAAAAGGAGCAGAATGTAACAACTGACATGAAGAATAATAAACAATAAGAAATGTCTGTATAAGAGAAATATCCAAAATAAATCAGTTGCTTGAAAGAGGGAATTTTAGGAGGAAAAGTGAAAGGAAGGGTAATGAGTAGAAGGAAAGAAGAAAAATAAGGAATTATTGTAGAAGCAGGTACATGAAAAAGAAAAGAAGTACAGGAAAAAGAGAGGGTTTTGAAAAGTTCTTAGTCCAATCCTTTTCTTAAATTCTTAAGTGTTATTTCATTGATGTAGCTAGGAAGAGCACTCCTTTATATTGAAAAGTGTCAATTTGCAGGAACCTTTGGGCTTGTTTTTCATTGACTGAACTATGTTTATGGAAAGTGTGAACTCTTCTGGTGTAGTTCTATGAACCATTATGAAGTTCTTGTTCTCATAGAAGAAAACTGCTAAGGAAACCCAAGAATGTATTTTGAAAATATTGAATGAGAAATCTGTGTCATATTCAACTGTGAACTGGCATACCAATTTCCAGCATGTAGATGTTGAGCCCACAGGATACTTAATGTTGTTAACACCTGAAATATTCAATGATTTTCATTGCCAATTTTTGGCCAAAAGAATTGTAAAGACACAAGAGATAACCAGAAAATGTGTTGGGTTTACAGTTTATCAACAGTTAGATATGCAGAAACTGTCAGCTGAGTGTGTGAGAAAATGTTTGAGAAATGATATCAAGTGAATACTTCCAAGCTGAATTTTGCAACATTTTCAGTGATCTTGTAACATGTTTCTGTCATTTTAAATGAAATATGGTTGCACAATTATGATCTGGATACTAAACAAAATTCTATACAATAGCAGCACTAGGATTCTCCATGAATGAAGAAATTCAAGATCCAAATATCAGCTGGGAATTCATGGCTATAGGTATATGAAGCAAGGCATTTATGAAGGACAGTGCTCCTCACAGGGCAAAAGTTGGTTAATTTCAGGACAACTTAGAAAATGTTCAATGCAAATTCCTTCTATGACACACCTGTAAATTTTCACCTGTTCACCTATAGTCATGGCTGTAGATTTTTGGAACAGGAAAGATATTTTGAAAACTATCTTCAGAAGTGTCAAACAGTTAACATACAATACTATACAACTTGCTATGCCGATTAAAGGAGACATTAAGAGAAAACAAGTGAGAAAAGCTGCAGAAAGGTGTTCTATTTTCTTTTCAGTATAATTTCTCACAGATTTGACAAGATAATGGATGTTTTGGAGTTGTATAGCACATCTATTCTACTTGCTAGATCTTGTTCTATCTATATCCCGTTTCCAAAGAAGTTTGAAAAGGAATACATTTTTCATTGATTAGAGCAGTATTTGAATGACCAAAAATTATAAATTTAGGGGAAGATGAAAAAAGAAAACTGTAGAAACAATGTGCCAGATATGTTGAACTGTAGGGTGAATATGTGGAATATGATGTACCTTTTATGGTTTTAGATCATTCCCTTCTGAATTCAGCAGAGAACTTTTTGGTATTGTTCATATTGTTCTTTCATGGAATCAGTCTTTACACCATCTGGCTTTATAAACATCCTTGAACAGTCTACCATTGTCATAACAAAGACCCTGCCACTTGGTTTCCCCAGTGGAAGAAAAAAAAATCCCCAAAAATAAGATCTGAGAGGGAATGTCCAAGCTGTAGTTTCTTTTGGATATAGAAACTATTTTGATGATTATATCCAAAAGGTCTAAACATTTAAACCCTAATACTAGTGAAATTTCTGTGTTGATTAAAGGGGATGTTGAAAGAAGATAGGTGAAGAAGGCTGCAGAAAAGTGATCTGTGTTTGCAGTGTAAAATACCTACTCAAAGATCTGGCAAGATGATGGATGTGTTGAAGAATTTGGAGTTTGAGAGTATAGCCCATGCATACTACTTGCTAGATTTTGCTCTATCTGATTTTCTGTTTACAAAATTCAAACAGATCCTGGACAGATTGAAATTTCTTAAATAATTCAGAGGTGATAGCAGCATACGGGCAGTATTTCAATGACTAAATGTAAGGAATTATCTGAAGGGTTAAAGAAACTTGAGAGATGCTTATGCTGGGCAGTGAATATATGAACAAGCATGTACATTTCATGGTTCAAGGTGATTCCATTCTTAGTCAGGTTAATAACTTTTGAGCACTTCTGCTCATAAAAGAAGGAATGTTTAGGAGACTTGGTTGAAGAAGGAAAAGAAGAAAAGATAAGAAAAATAAAAGGAAAATGCTGGGGAGAATAAGAATGACTTGCAAAAAGGATGAAGGAAAGAAGTGATCTAGGAAAGGAAGAAGAGGATTCAAAATAAATCTTGAGGAAAAGAAAAGTATCAGAAAGATTTTGGTAGAGAAAGCAAGAGAACAAAGAAGAGAGGGAAAATTGAATGCCAAAAGAAAGAGAATGGATGAAAGAATGGTTTAAAAATAAATAAAGATAGTAGATATTCCATTTTCTATAACCGTCAGAGACTTTCTGGATCTTTACTGCTTCAGGGCATTAATTTGAATCTGTGATATATCTGTGTGCTCTTGCTGGCCATTTTCTTCCTTATTTGTAAAGAAGTTGACCAAAAGTTTTGTAATGGGGGTTTGTGCATGGAATAATGTGTTTGAATTATCAGGTGTATGGTGCTCAGTGCATTTCTCAAAGATAACACTTTAAAATAAAAGTCATGCTTTTCAACCAGGTCTGAGACTAACTTTTTATGTCAAAGATATTCCAGTTAGTATTTCAGAAGGTCAAGGAAAATTGTTAAGGAAATATTCTTTCTACATGCCATGTCCTTTCAGGACCTAGTTGATCATCTACTTGCTTAAGGCCACTAGATATGTCATGTCGTTTTCCCTTGTCTATCTTTCCCTATATTCAACTCATGAGTATCAGATTCTCCAGGCCCTCCTTCCTCAATATGTGTCCCAGGAACTTGTTGCCTCTTCCTGATGTTATGTATAAGCCTCCTCATTGTTTGCATCCTCTCTAAGACCTCATTGTTGCTCACATGCTCAGTTGATGATATCCTTATCATCCTTCTGTAGAACCACATCTCCATCACTTTGAGTCTCTTCTTCATCTTTGAGAAAGTCATCCAACATTCACTGCTGTAAAGAAGAACAGATGTCATGTAACAGTTTAGTATTCTTTTCTTTGTTACCAAAGAAATCCTCCTGTCTCACAATACTCTTCCCAGCTTTTGGAATGCATTCTTGGTTATCCCAGTACGTCTACGAATCTCAGTGTTGCATTTACTGTCCTCTGTCAAAATGCTTCCCAGATATCTAAACTTCTGAGTTTGCTTGATTCTAGTCTTCCGACCTGCAAATCACATCTCAGGCTCATCCTTTTAATGATGTTCATGCTTCTGTTTTCTTGTAGTTTATGCTTAGTCCCTTCATCACAGTCTCTATTGCTAACTTCTGTAGGAGATTTTGTAATTTCTTTTCTATATCTGCTATCAGTACTGTGTTATCTGTGTATCTTATGTTATTAAGATTGTGACTACTAATGCTAAATCCCAATAGGGTTTCCAGTTTTCTCAGAATTGCCTCTCTGTATAGGTTGAACCGATTGGGTCAGAAGACACATCCTTGCCCCTTTCTAATTTTGTATATTTGCTTAACTTGTTCTCTATGCACATGCATGCTGTTTGCTGCCAGTATAGATTCTTGATTATTCTGATCTCTTTCCTGAATATATCTAGGTTACTGAGCAGTACCAGCAGATCCTTGTGGCATACTTTGTTGAAGGCCTTTGCATAGTCTATTAAACAGATACATATCCTTTTGCATTTGTATATATCATAAGAGAGAGAATGAAGAGTAAGATAAGGATGTTTGAGAAATTTGAAGAAAAGGTTTGAGAAAAAGAAGAGTAATGTAACAGAAGGATATTTGAGAAATCTGAGGAAAATGTGATAAAAGAGGAGGATGATGAGAAAGTTAAGGGAGAAGATTTTGAGAAATCTGAGGAAAGAATAAGAGAAGAGGAGGATGAGGAAAAGCGAGGGGAGCTTGAGAAATCTGAGAAAGAATGAGAGAGAAGGAGGAAGTTAAGGCAGGAGAGATTGAGAAATCTGAGGAATGCATGGGAGTGAAGGAGGATGAGGAAATTAAGAGAGTAGAGTTTGAGAAAACTGAGGAGGGCATGGAAGAGAAAGAGGATGAGGAAATTAAGAGAGGAGAGTTTGAGAAAACTGGGGAGAGCATGGAAGAGAAAGAGGATGAGGAAGTTAAGGGAGGAGAGTTTGAGAAAACTGGGGAGGGCATGGAAGAGAAAGAGGATGAGGAAATTAAGGGAGGAGAGTTTGAGAAAACTGGGGAGGGCATGGAAGAGAAAGAGGATGAGGAAATTAAGGGAGGAGAGTTTGAGAAAACTGGGGAGGGCATGGAAGAGAAAGAGGATGAGGAAATTAAGGGAGGAGAGCTTGAGAAAACTGGGGAGGGCATGGAAGAGAAAGAGGATGAGGAAATTAAGGGAGGAGAGTTTGAGAAAACTGGGAGGGCATGGAAGAGAAAGAGGATGAGGAAATTAAGGGAGGAGAGTTTGAGAAAACTGGGGAGGGCATGGAAGAGAAAGAGGATGAGGAAGTTAAGGGAGGAGAGTTTGAGAAAACTGGGGAGGGCATGGAAGAGAAAGAGGATGAGGAAGTTAAGGGAGGAGAGTTTGAGAAAACTGAGGAGGGCATGGAAGAGATAGAGGATGAGGAAATTAAGAGAGGAGAGTTTGAGAAAACTGGGGAGGGCATGGAAGAGAAAGAGGATGAGGAAATTAAGAGAGGAGAGTTTGAGAAAACTGGGGAGAGCATGGAAGAGAAAGAGGATGAGGAAATTAAGAGAGGAGAGTTTGAGAAAACTGGGGAGAGCATGGAAGTGAAAGAGGATGAGGAAGTTAAGGGAGGAGAGTTTGAGAAAAATGGGGAGGGCATGGAAGAGAAAGAGGATGAGGAAATTAAGAGAGTAGAGTTTGAGAAAACTGGGGAGAGCATGGAAGAGAAAGAGGATGAGGAAGTTAAGGGAGGAGAGTTTGAGAAAACTGGGGAGGGCATGGAAGAGAAAGAGGATGAGGAAATTAAGGGAGGAGAGTTTGAGAAAACTGGGGAGGGCATGGAAGAGAAAGAGGATGAGGAAGTTAAGGGAGGAGAGTTTGAGAAAACTGAGGAGGGCATGGAAGAGAAAGAGGATGAGGAAATTAAGAGAGGAGAGTTTGAGAAAACTGGGGAGGGCATGGAAGAGAAAGAGGATGAGGAAACTGAGGAGGGCATGGAAGAGAAAGAGGATGAGGAAGGTAAGGGAGAAGAGTTTTGAGAAAACTGAGTAAAGCAGAAGAGAAATTGAGGAGATCACATTGGAAGTTGACAAAAGAAAAGGGATAGCAGCAGAAAAGTAATAAAAGAAAATTGTAAAAATGAATCTATTTTCTTCTCTGTTGACAAGAATTGCTTAAAGAAAAGTAGAATGATTTTTATCTTTTAAAAAATGAATGCATGGAATAGAATACCATTTTTGTTTTCACTGCAAGATGCCCCCTCCCAAAACACATAGGAAGAGATTTTGCATAAAATAAAATGTATAAGAATAACTGATACAAAAGTAGAAAAAATGAAAATCATAAAAAAAAAGTTTTAGAAAGAATTAACGATAAAGGTCAATTGATTTATAATTTTATTTTATCCATTGTTTCTAAAAATCATCTAAAATCTATAAATCTGTAAACAAATTCAAGGATATTTCCAAGTCAATGTTTGTTTGATGAGAAGCATCATAACTAGTGAACTGTAAGATTTCAAAATCATAGTAGTGCTAATTCCAATCTAAAAACCAGTAAAATTTTTTAGCTCTAAATTTTTTCATAAATATAAATATTTAAAAAAAATACTTGCATCATTCTAAATGCCTATAACTTCTCAAGAAAGGTTACTTGAAGGGGAAAATAGTAAATTATCACATGACCAAAAAGGTTTGTGGTTTTCTTTTATAAAATTCTAGTTTTTATCTGCTTTAAAAGAGAGACATCTTTCCAAATATTTTCAGCAGCACAATACATACACAGTTAACTACCAGATATCATATATATGGGGGCTCTGGATAGAGGTAGTATGTTTGATGTCTGGCATGCTGCACCTTTGAGTGGATAGTTATCATTGGTCCTCAGACATCTAAATCACTCACATGATGATTCTAGCTGTTGGGCTAAACTCAAGTGAGGGAGTGGTAGGAAGGACAGTCTTGACACAGATCCCCAGCCAAGGTGGAAGGGTTCCTCAGATGAACTACGATGACCATGTGTTTGTGACCAAGGTTAGCCAACTAGTTAGAGGACATTGGCTGTGGTCTATCTATAGAGGGATGGACTCTGTCAGATAAAAGCGCCCAAGACAAAGCCACATGCTGAGTAAACCAAGAAACCATTTCCAGAGACTCAGGCTCTGGCACATGACTGCAACAGATGTAGGAGAATGGTGGACAGCTAAGCATGTTGGTTCCCCAATGACTCCTTTTAGGTATAAGGGCAAAAGAAAATCATATAAAAGAAAATATGGATTTCTCTATTGAATTTAATATATATAGGTAAAACTGTTCAACTAAGAACTGAGCTGCCAAACCACTCACACAGATGATTTTATTATAAGGGTAAAATCTGGTGCTGACCCATAAAAATAGAAGTGATAACAGAAAATCATATACAGTATGCCACAAAACCTGCAGACAATTCTCTACTGCTTTTAATTCAGTTTTCCTTCTCCTGTACAGTCTCAGCAAGAAAGTCTAATCTGCTCTGCTATTTAACCCATAGCTGGAAGAATGTGGAATAATGGATGTATGGGTTGTGTACTGGTTATCAGTTTAGAAAGTAGAATCATAAAGTTCAAAATTGTGGTTGGTTCTGTTCATTTCACACTGATGCCCTTGGAAAAGGCATGAATCTATTCCTCCATAGAAATATAAGAGTCTGCTTAAAGTACTAATGTATAAAAACAATCTTACTTTCAAAAACTGATTGTGAGATCTTGTCTATTGTTTAAATTTGTTCAGTTTCCTGATGTTCTATACTAAATCTATTGTAATTAATCCATTCACTGAGGTATTTGAAGTGTTTAGTATTTAATCATTCCACATTCTGAATTTTTATGATGAATTCCTGGTATGTGTCATCACTGATGTCTTTCCAATTCAGGATCATAATTTCTGTTTTGAAAAGGTTTATTGTAAGTGCTATTAATAATAACTGTGAGCTTGTTTTGAAATTCTCTGTTTAAAAATATCAGATGTTTGAATTAATATTTAATAGAAGAATTAATATCACACTTAAACTGTTCTATAAGAAGCTGTACATTAAGGAAATGGTAACTCTGTGAAAAAAATTACATACCCATTGTTGGTTCAATCACAAAGAAACAGAGAGGGGTTAAAATCTTTGTATTATCTTTATAGACTAACTCCAGAAAATCAGTTGCGATTTTCTTAGAATATAAATCAAGTTTAGTATCTCTTGGGATAATCAATAGAATGGATAATGTGTTTGAAAATAGTTCTTTCATAATCAGCCTTTATGAAATTAAAATAACCTTCATTGTCATCAAGTTTTGAACTTGAAATGCCCATAGAAAGAAATGCTTATAGTGTGAGATTAAAAATTCTGTGAAGAAAGAAAAAAAAGATCCTGATGAACTGATACTGAGGTGAGAGAGAAACAAAGATGAGAAAAAAATGAAGAAACTGTTTGATTAGGAAAATGAAGATAAGAAAGAAAAAAGAATCCCCACCCCCAAAGTTGATCATCTCTCAGATTTTCATCAAGCAGACCAAATAACCACACCTCTATTCTCATTTGCATCAGTGGGTATGATTGGGGGAGTCCTTTGTAGTTTCACAAGAGAGACAACATTAATAACATGATGAGAAATAAAAATCTGAATCATTTTTTCATTATATTTGACTGCTTTTCAAGGTAGATAGGTGACACTTGTGCTAATTGCTGCTCTAGTTGACAATGGATTAGATTTTCACTCTTCTACTGCTCCTCTGCCCTTATCTACATCATAATGAAGACAACTTAGAATATCTTGACAGCCAGCCTGTACTGGCAACAGCTGTATTGGAATTATTTTCAGTCCTATCTGTGACTGTTGACATAAGCCTGTGAATGGAAATTTCCAACAACTAGTTAAGTGTCACATGATCTCAAAGTTTTTAATTTATTTGAAGGAATGTACCTTGAATCTCTCATAAAATTTCAGAATGTGGAATTAGTAAATAATTAACATTTCAAAATGTTTATTAAAATTAAATTTCACTTTAAATTCAGTTAAAATTAAACTTCAAAATGGTTATTAAAATCTTTATTAAATATTAAACATTTCAAATACCTTGTTGTATGGATCACTTAAGAGAAATTTATCATAGGATACATTAACATAAACACTTGAGTTATGTTCTTAAATAGATGTGTTATGTCCTTTATAGAACTAATTATCACTCACTCATATATTTTCATGTCCATGTTCTTTCATCACATCAAGAACTTCTGGTTAGTTGAAACTTTAGATGTTCACAATATCTTGTTCATGAATGACTAGCATCTCTTGAGCTACTTCTATTCTCAGCTGGCTTTGACCTTTGCTTCCAGAATGAAGCTTCCCCTCAAAATGTTACTTTGCACAGAGATGAAACTTTAAGATAAAGGCTTATTGAATATTTGACTGAAACTACTCCATGTATACACTTGGCACTCCGCCAAATAGAAAGTGGAAGGAAGTGATGTAATAGCCATAGTGAGAGTATCCAACTATATATTAAGGTTTGAGGGAGTAAGAAAAGTGATAAGAAAGCATTTAAAAAGCTGAGTATTAACATGTATAAAATCCTTTCAAAGTGAGTTTAGACTGGAGTAAGGTTATAAGTGTAGAGGCACACAATTAAGATTGAACTCAATTCTTTAGGAATGACCAGTGAGGCCAACTAAATATTGCTTCGTGCTGAGGCTCTCTAGAATCTTTGATGTTTTACTAAGAGAGCACAATTACTGTGTTAAAGTAAAAAAGCAAGCTGCAGATAATATATAAATGAGAAAAAGGAATAAAATGTTGAGTAATTTTACATTCTGATGTTAATTCTACCAGGTGAGAAGTTGCTGTAAAGTTTATGGTGTAATCGTGCATACTTTTTTTAATTATGAATTCACATCAACCGATGATTTGAAGAGTGTCAATATTAAAAATGATCAATGTGACTTTTCCAAAATGTTTTTTGTAGTGTTTTCTTCTATTTCTTTTCTTTTCCAATGTTAATCTTTTACATGATCAGAATGGTGATCATTTTTATCTTTTTGCTCCTTGAATTGAGTTTTCTAGGCTTCAGTAATTAATCATTTAGATTCATCTTTTTCAGGAAGGTTAAGTGTTTTTCTAACCAGAATCATTTCAAAAGTAATGGTTGAATTACAGAGGATATTTTATGCTAATTTCAAACTCTTCCCTACACAAGAAAGGGTAAAAAAAAACACTTAAAGACACTTATCCTTTTTATTAACTTTATGCAAATTTTGCTCTATACGTGAATTATTTCAAACTATTGTTCACATCTTGTTTGTTATAGATAGTATTAGTATTGGTTTTGGGATAATATTATAATGGGTATATATTCTTTTGATGAGAAGTTATAAGCTCTGGGTACGTTTGACCCACTGAAAATTTTTGGTGGGCTCATATAATTCCAAATGAATAATACGACATAGAATTTGAGCAAAGAAATATTAACAAATATATTTTAAAAAAGAAAAGATGAGAAATGAAATGAAATGCAAAAAGTTCAAAGCAACTTTAAGTGTCTATTTGATTACTCACATATTGAAGGAGTGAAAAGATGTCTTTTCGCTATGAAAAGTCATTGAGAAAGAGATTTAAGTCTATCAAATCTTGCACTACTTATAAATCATCATGGGGTAATAATTCCAAAATCTTGCTGTAGTGAGATTTTACTAATCAGGGGACAGTAATCATATAAAAATCAAGACGAGAACAATGTTATATATAACATCTATGAGAATCAAGATGAGAAATAAAGAGAAAATTAAAATAATTCAACTATCCCTTATCAGAAAAGATACAGCATTCATTGACAGAACAGTATTAATATCAGTTAAAATGTATAAAAGTTTTCTCTTAAAACTGTTTCTCAGGAAAATAGGTTTCTCATGTCCAGTAACTGTTATTGCTCCTTCTAGTATTGATGCAAGCTTCCTACCTAAACTATTGTTTAAAACAGTGAGGAAAGTCAAAATCTTCATTATGTCATTACTTTCTCTTTGTTATGTGTGCTGTCCATTTTAGTTGCTACTGCAATGTGATTTCTGTTATTTGGCAAAGTTCTTTGTTTGTGATTCTGTAACACCAGTCTACAAGATCTGACATAGAACAGTCCTCTTCAAGAACTATAAGGTTTATTGATTTAAAACCGTTTTTAATCATTGATCTGAAAAAAACCTGAATGTATAGTGTTGATATTTTAGAAATTTCTAAATGAATTGGATGCTATGTATCATACCTATATGAGAATAGAGATCTGACAAGGCGATTTAAGGGCATGACTTGAGTTCTTAGGTTAATGCTTAGTTTTGTAGCATCTTGCAGTCTTGTTAAAAGTACCCTTTAAAATCATCATAATTGGCAACTGGTGGTCATCTGCTTCTGGGCATTATTTCAGAACCTCAACAAATTATGTCTCTTATCTTTTGCTGCTCTAAATAACTTCTGACTCTTTACCAGTTCTCTTTAACCCTGTTCTGACATCCACTCACTCAAACTCCTAATGTAGGTGATTTGCAGTTTCCCTTCTTGTTTCTCTTGATTCACTATACCCTGTGATTGTTAAATTCTTTCACACATCTTTACTCATTATGTGTCCCCAAAATTTCAACTATTGCTATCTGATTCTAAGTGAGTTTTTTTTGTTTTTATTTTCCTAAAAACTTCCTCATTGCTTACATGTTTTGTACATGGCATTCTCAGCATCCATTGGTAGAACCACAACATTGTCAGTCCATGTCTCTTCTTCATCTGCAAAGAGATTTCCCAGTATTTATTGTCATATAGGAGATTAGAATTTGTAAAATATAATTGCTCAGATTATATAGGAGAGCACAAATACTTTTTTCAGGCATATATCAGTATTTGATTTAAAATGCAGTATTATCCTGTTCTCCCAAAAATTGAGTATAAAAGCTAAAATCTTTTAAATTACAAATAATTAGCATTGTTGAAGGCATGTAAGTCCCACTTTTCCCCACCACCAGATATTCTTCTTTTATATGCTGTGTCTCTTCAGAATGTAGGCGATCATGACCCTCCGCATCTTCCTGTTCTTTGTAGTTCTTAATAAGTTTTGTCTTGTTATTTCTCCCAAACCCTGTTCTACCATCCATTTACTCAAGCTCATTAAGTATGTTACCTGTTGTTTTTCTCTGTCCCTCAATTTGTGCCATGAGTAAAAGATTTTCCAAGCTCTCCTCTTTCATTATGAGCCCCAGAAATTTCAATTGCCTCTTCCTGATGTTAAGTGTGAGTTTCTTTTTTGTTTCCATTTTCTCTAAAACCTTGTCATTGCTCCCATATTTCATCCATGGTATCCTCAGCATCTTTCTGTAGAACCACATTTCTGTTGCTTCAAGTTGCTTCTTCATCTTTGGAGAGATTGTCCAGCATTCACTGGTATACAGGAGGACAGATATCACATAACAATTCAATATTCTTTTCTTTTGTCTGTAATATTTTTTTTTTATCTCTTACCCTGCTTAGCTTTTAGAATGCATCTTAGGATCTCAGTGTCACACTTTCTGTCCTCTCTTAGAAGACTTCCCAAATATTTAAATTTTTGTACTTGTTTGATTTTAGTATCCCCTATTTGTAATTTGCATTTTGGGCTCATCTTTTTGCTGATAACCATGCATTCTTTCTTCTCACTTTCCTTTGCTACTTTCTGTAGGTGCTTTTGTAGTTTCCTTTCTTTGTCTTCTAACAACACTGTATCATTTGTATATCTTATGTTGTTAAGATTGTGGCCACTAATAAAGAATCCAGGTAGTACTTCTAATTCTCTCAGTATTTCCTTGCTGTATAGGTTAAATAAATCCAGTGAGAAGACACATCTTTCTACTTTTGCATATCAGCTGACTTCAATTTCTGTCCATATGCATGTAGTTTGCTGCCAATGAACTTCAGAAATTTGTAATAAATGCATGAAAAGAAACTTAGTTTTTAACTTGGCCAAATGAAGCAACTTGGAAGTTCTTGTCTTAATTTTGTCAAATAGGTTGTTTTAAATATTTTACAAGGATTTCTTCAGACTAATTTCAAAACATTCTAGAATACAACAGACACAACAAAGGAAAACATAGACAGAGTGAGGTCAGCCTTCAGCAAATCTAGTAACTTCAAATTGATGTTGATTCTATTCTTGTAGAAGTCCAACTGGCACTGGCACTGATATCTAAAGAAACGGCTTTGTCTCACTGATGGGCAAAAAACGTTTATGGCAAACCTGGTAGGTAATCTAATATAAGCTCGTCTGTGGTTCTGAATATATATATTAATCACTGACTTAGAGCACATCAATTGTTATTATTTCTTTTTCTTAGAGATGGAAAGATAAATATCAATTTCAATGAGTAAGCCCTTCTACTTGATCAACTTTTGCATCTGTTCTTGACCGAATAAGTTTTTCTGTGCCTGTCTTCATCTGTGCAAAGACAAAAATACTGAACCTGTATAACATTTTTTATTCTT